ACCATTGCTATCCTCCTCTAATAAGTAATGATAAATGATGGTTAATTTTTTTTTACTTTTTGTGTGTTTCTTCCTTTATTTATTTATTTCAAATACAAGTATAGTTAGGATAAATTTTGGAGTAAATTTGGATGCTCAGACTGCAGGAAATGACATTTCCGGGAGTCAAATTTCAAACATTTTCTGGGGGAGTACACCCAGACCCCCCATTCATGCGTGGTATATTTGCCACACACGTGGCTTTCAGCCATTGCTATCCCCCTCTAATATATTATCTCACAGAAAGGTCCCTTTTCAAAAAATGCCCCCCCCCACGGGAAAATCCTTAAAAAAGGCACTGTTTCATTGCCCTGCCAATCCAGATGATTTGCCTTGCCAATCCAGCTTTGGGGGGTCACACCCCCCCCACACACACACCCTCAAGTTTCGTCCCTGCTGCCAAATTAACCAGGCTAGGTTTGGCAGTATAATTGAATTCCCCATCCACCGGTGGACGGGAATTGATGATTGGCTGCGAGTCCGAGCCGCTGTCACTCAAAATTGCAATTGATTTCCAGATCCTTTATCTCAATTTTTCATACCACATTTCGGTACTTAGTCCAGAAAAAAAAATTACATTAGCAGCTATTACTTCTGCAAAACGTAAAGGGGGGGGGCATAATTTCGATTTTATTTCAGAGTGGGGGGGGGGCACTGCCCCCAGCCCCCACCCCCCCCCCCCCCCCCCCCCCAGCTACGGGCCTGAACAGAACGCTTCTCGAAAGTCGAAACGCGAACTGATTATACTCCTCGGAAAGAATGTTTGATTTTCACATTGTTCTTGTTGGCGCGAGAAAATATAACGAGAATAAATACAGACGGCCGTATAATCTTTCTTGCCACGGGTTTTGAACAGGATTACTATGCCTAGCCCTAGGTCTATTAGCCTCTTCACTTTCTGAACTTTTTAAGGCTTTCTTTACCACACGGCTTCGTTCGGAAGACGAGACAGTTCATATTGGCAGTGCACGCTCTATTTGTTCGATACACATGCAACGCGTCTGTCTCGTTTGGTTTATATGGCAAATCCAATTCGCTTGCGTTTCGGATCATTCCCTCACACGGCCGCACGGTTTACAAGTCTTACAATATAACAAATATACTTGCAGGAAGGTGAGTCCTCTACAAAATTTGAGATTGAGGCTAATCACCAAACCTGCATCACAAGTTTTTTGTGTTTTTTTTGGGCTGAATTTATTTTAATTTTGCTGATATGTTTATCAGTAACCTCCACAAAACGGCTAGCCGCTATTTTAAAAATTTCGATTTTGTTAATATATTTGCCTGCAATATATAGGCTATAACAGCTTATTATACCTACGTCAAATTTGACTAATCAACTTATAGGATTTGTTGTATTCACGTGTGCAATTCATAACAATTATAACAATTTATACAAAATTGATATATACAAGGTGGATAAGAAACCTCAACAGATTTGAAATTGATCCCAATTTCGCAAAAAAAAATAATTAAACGAAAGGTGTGAAGCCATGCAATTGTCTGACATTTCGTTACTCAAAACAAAATACGATTAAAGCTTTTAATTCTTGTTGTAAAGACACCCCCCTGTTCTACAAAATTTGAGATTGAGGCAAACTTCGGGCTTGATAATTCTTCATATTGTGCTCAACCTCATTCAATAATTGTTAAATTATACATGTTTAAAGATTTGTGATCCAGGCATATTATAATTATATTTGAGAACTTATTGCCTGCCAAAGTTGTGTTCGCACTTGCCAAAGGCGGACTTTGTTTCCTAGCGAGTCATTAGGGTCATCAGCCCCCATGGAAACATTTTTAAATTGGAGTCTCTAAATGCCCTTTCCTACATTTTTTTGAGATTTATATCACACAATAAGAAGGTACAGCAGAAGTGTAACTCAAGCAAGTATAATGGTGGGCGTTTTTACAAGCGATTCGTCATCAACCATGCCATTTTCGCTAGTGCAACCAGCACTTTGTACCTTAACCAAAACCTGATAAAAACTTCCGGATGTTAGCCAGGATGGCGTGAGCGAGTTAAAATTTTGGTGGACGTAAAACAATAAAGGAATTGACTCAAGTTAAAGTTCTGCTGTGCCTTCTTATTCTTGTGTTTATATCTACAGTGCTTGTGAGAATAAACAAAATATGCAAGTAATTGTGTCTCTCTCAAATCCAGAGGTCAAACAACAGCAGCCAGAGGAGGGGGCAGAATCATTGAGGTATGTAGATCATTCTATTCAGGTAACATAGTATATATATGCATCATTAGGCAAAAAAAAAATAAACATGGGTTTTCAGTTTCCCAACCCTTAGTAGCTTTAATGGACACTGAACCACAGACTAGACTACTAACAGAAGCCTGACTTACCATATAATTTGTCATCAAAATGCTGACACCATGGTGCTAGCCAATGCGCATTTGAGAGACATTCACCCCCTGATAATAGAAATCCTTTTTCGATAGCGTACCGGTACTGCATGCAGTATATCGACTATTTGCAGTTGGGCGTGGGTATCAGATTGGTGGTATCAGATACCATTAATTAGTAGTACTGCAAGGCTATAGTCACCCATCACTACTGACCGAACAATCATATATGGTGCCTGGGTTGTTAAGAACATTTTTAAAAAAGTTTAAGAAAAAGTTAAAACCGACCTACCCTATACCTAAGTTTGTACAAGAAAAAATAGAAACCCATTTATTTTTTGCCCAATCTTTAATGCATACAAACTTGCGCTTAACTCACTATAAAATAGGGGAAAATTGTATATAGTGATAATATATAATGAGAGGATACTGCCTCTAATTATTATTCATTATTTTCTTGTAGTGGCCCCATTGAAGTGAATGGTAAGATTATTTTAGCATAATAATTTCAAAGAGAAGCATTAAAACAGAAAGTTGGATTGATTGGTTTTGCTTAAATATATCTAAGGCTAAAATGTACAAGTAATTGTATTCTCAAATCCAGGGTCCAGACAACAGCAATTATTATAATTATAATTATTACTAGATATCACAAAAACTGAATTCAAAACTGTTTTGTTAAACATTGGATTTTTATAACACTTTTTCGAACTTTCGATGAACAGCTATAGTGATCATCGCACAAAATAATGTGTCTTCTCAAAAAGCGCAGTGAATTTAAAATATCACAAATATGATGTATTGACAAAATGTTTGATTATATTCAACTTTGTTCGTATTTATTTTAGAATTGTCTGACAGTGACTGAGGCCGGGACATCAAGGTATGTAGATTTAATCAAACTTGTGCTTAACTCGTTATAAAATGGGGAAAAGATTATCGAGCTTGAGGTATATGTAGGCGAAATTGATAAGACTTTAACCGAGTTCTTGATAATTCTGGATATGACATTAAAACCAAATTCAAACACTCATTAATAATTCATAAGCTTATTGGCAAATCATGTCAAACATAATACGGCTTTAAACCTGACAAAACACTCCTATATAGTTAGTATTCTTTATATAAAGAATACTAATGAGACAATATCTATTGTAGTCGTCTCCTCATTGGTATTCTTTATATAAAGAATACTAATAAGGCAGTGTATCTATTGAATTTGTAGTCGTGTTTGAAGCCGTTTAATAAACTCGCAGGTCGTGTTTTATTAGGTCTAAAGCCACTCGCGCTGCGCGCTCGTGTCTTTAAACCTAATAAAAC